AGATAGATGCTAGTGTAATCCGCAAAAAGTCGAATATTCGATTTTATGTTCTTAACGATATCATTTATATATATAAGAAAGAGAAGGGGGCCCGAGGACAGAGCCCTGTGGTACACCAGCATGGACGGTTTTGGGGTCAGAGGAGACTCCACTTACAACGACGCTTTGCTTTCTGTTATACAAATAATTTTTGAACCATTGAAGCAAGTCACCTCTGATCCCAGCCGCCCCAAAACAGATATTTTATTCAAATGAGTCTGATTTCATAAAACTAATTGAACATTTTCATTATCACCGGAAGTACTGTACACTTACATGTAAAAAATGTATAAAATGAATTGATATTGCTGGATTTGGTTGATTATACGTCCATTTTATTTGATGTGGCTATGCTTAGGTGAAAATCTGTTTAATGGTTTGGGGGGGGGGGGATGACCGAATGGTTAGCACGTGAGTGCTGTATCATAAGGCCTGTCATTGAGTCAACTGGCGTGGTTTCGAATCCCCGGTTGTACGTGACAAGGAGTAGGGTCGCCTGTCCAACCTAGTGGGTTTTCTCCGGGTCCTTCGGTTTCCTCCCACTGCTAAAGACCCCTACGCGCAAGCGAATTATTGAAATAAAATTAAACCATATGTTAGTCCCAAAATGACCTAGTTTGTGTCGAGTGGACGTTAAACCCCATTTCTCTCTCTCTCTCTCTCTTTCTCTCTCTCTCTTAATATTATTATTATTATTATTATAAATTATTGTTAACCTAAATTAGTTTTCTGTATGGCACATAACCCGAAAATATCTTGATTCCAATATCTTGGGAAACTCTTATGTTGAAAAAAAAAACCCCAAAAAACACAGACCCAAAAAACACTGATCAAAACACTGGACTATAGTACCACACAGGCACATCTTATGGAACTCTAGTAGTGAAAAACACCACAGACCCAAAACACTCTATGAAAATTTTTCTAAGTCGAACATTTTGTGGAATGTGGTGCCACACAGGCACAGACCCAAAACACTATCAGAATTATTCTAAGTCGAAAATCTTATGGAACTCTAGTAGTGAAAAACACAACAGATCCAAAACACTCTATGAAAATTTTTCTAAGTCGAACATTTTGTGGAATGTGGTACCACACAGGCATATAGGGAAGAAACACTGTATCAAAATGATTTATTTTCTAAGTCATATATCTTGTGGAACTCTTGTGGTGATAAACACCACAGATCCAAAACACTCTACGAAAATTTTGTGGAATGTGGTACCACACAAGCATATAGGGGGTCTGAGAAGAAATTTTTGAAAAAATTGATATATTTTTCTATGTCCAATATCTTGTGGAACTTTTGTGGTAAAAACACCACAGATCCAAACACTCTATCAGAATTATTCTAAGTCGAAAATCTTGTGGAGTTTGGTACCACACAGGCATATAGGGGGTCTGAGAAGAAATTTTTGAAAGAAAAAATGTTTTTTTGATACGCCCACATTTTCATGTGGACGTATTATGCCGTCGCCCCTGTTTGTCCGTCCGGACGTTCGTCCACAATTTGTTTGTGGACACTCTACAGGTCACAATTTTTATCCAATTTGAACAAAACTTGAAACATAGGTTTATCTCCCTGAGATCTCGGTTCCTTTCGATATTGGCATGTATCGGACCGAAACTTCATGGATTATGGCCCCTGATTGTACGAAAAATCACGTTTTTAGCTTGTGGAACCTATAGAGGTCACAATTTTTATCCGATTTTGTTGAAACCTGAAATGTAAGTTTATAACCTAAAGATTTCAGTTCCTGTCGATATTCGTGCATATTCCTGAATTATGGTCCCTGATTGTACGAAAAATCACGTTTTTAGCTTGTGGACCCTATAGAGGTCATAATTTTTATCCGATTTAAAAAAAACGTTTTTTAGCTTGCACAATCTTTTTTTTCCGACTTTAAAAACTGTTCAAATATATCACCATTCCACCATAATGAAGGTTGAATTTGGATTTCGGGAAAATCGAAATGAAACTGCCTAACAAAATGGTCGCTCTTTGTACGCAAATTGTGTAAAAGTATGCAATATGAAGGTTGCGGACCCTCTAGAAGTCACAATTTTTACCTGATTTTGATGAAACTTAAAACATATCTTTATATTCCAAAGATCTGTCCCTTTTGATATTTGTGCATTTCAGACCATAACTTTCTGGATTATTACCCCTGATTGTACAAAAAATCCTATTTTCCTCACATCTTACAAGATGATAGGATAAACTATTATTGTTCCAGTAAAATAAAAAGAAAATGTTTCATAAATTTTTCACGGTCCACTTTTCCAAATGACCCCAAACCTTGCCATGTCTATGAATTGAAGTGGTGAACGTATCCCAAAATGATTGCCATTTGGAATGATCTCCACTAAATTTGCGTAAATTGAGCTTTGGAAGTTTTACATGTGGTCTTGCTGATGTTGGATTTCTTGTAGGTGAAACTGTATGGGTTGAATTCCCAATAGATGAATCACACCCCTGTGGTGTATCCTGGACTACTTTCTGGTTCAGCCGATACACTAGGCTGGTACTGGTAGGTGTGGTTTTCAGGGACTGGGTTAAATTTGGGTTTTGATGGGCTTAAACTTTCTAGGGCTGAATCTAACCTCAATGTCATTAAATTAACAGAGTCCTTTAAGTTATCACCTTCAATGTCCTCGTCCACGGTGCATTCCAATATTTCATGATCTAATCCTTGTATGATAGTAAGTTTCTCGAGTAATGCTGCTCTTAATTGTGTTATAAGAACCTTGTGTTCATTTATTTCAGTTGGATCCAGATCAGTGATACTCCTACTCAAAGCTTGTTTACTCTTAGACTTGTTCTCACCCTGATCGTTCGTTTATATTTGTTTACATCTTGGTTATTAACGTCTGTCATAATCACCATGTTGATTGGGTATGAATGATTGACTGACAGTGTCTGTATAGATTTACGACCGTGAATTTTCGGTTAATTATGGATGATTTCCCATTATTGCTTACTTGGATTTTGACCACTTTACTCGGATCTGTCTCGTCGGACCATGTTGAGAATTTTTGATGGTGGCGGTATAAAAACCCAGGATCGATGATTCGATAACTTTTATTTTGAAGGACTGTAATTACATATTGATAATTGAGACTAGCCCGGTAAAAATATATAAACCAGAACTAAACTTTAACCATAAGAAAAACTGATAAGGGAGGTAATTTTTAGTCTCTGATATCAGGCCTCACAAACTAGTAAATGTCTGACAGTTTTTTTTATCCTATACACGCTTCTTTGAGGAAATCTATGAAATATCTATCCACATCCCTGTCTGTCGGGACATCATAGTACACTTGACGTCATATTTTCATGACGTCATATGAAATTTCTGGCTTCACAGTTGTCATAACTTTGGTGCAGTCTATTTTATTAGTATTTCTATGGTCTAGACCTATATTATCACCCAAAAAAAGTCCCAGTCAGAATCAGGGTCCAAATGGGTCCAATACAGCAATTAAAATCGATGACCGCTGTTAGAACAGTTAAGAGTAGAACTCGCAACAACCAGTGAGGCTGTTGTCCCTAAATAGATTACACTCAATAATTACTTGCACATCTAACATTTTTATAAAGCATCTAGCAATGAAATTGTTCATCACTCTGTGTAATTTAAGTGAAAGATGCTCATTGTCGAACTTAGTCAAGATATTAATGTAATGAAACTATACACCAGGAGTTATTCTATCCTAAATTCTCCGCCATTGAAATTGCTTTTCTCCGCTCATTATCAAACTTAGTCAAGGCATATACCTAATAAACAAATGGACCAAGTTTGAACATTCAAGCTAAATTAGAAGCAGTGTCAAAAAAATGGGACAAACATGATACAGACAGCTGTCGGACGGCGGGGTACAAAAAGGAGAATTACAAAGGTGCACAGATGCAGATAAATACTTGTTGTTGCAGGCTCATTTTCTTGTAACAGCAATCACCGCATGTTACTCTTCTCTTTAAGGCCATGTAAAAAACAAATGAGTTAAAATGCCTTGACAGAGTTGGATAATGAACGTTTTCAAGTCAGGGTAAGCAGAGCGTTAAGCAGTTTGGAGCTCGATAAATTTGATCCTAATTGAGTGAGATTGATGAAACTTTGTGTATAATTTCATTGCATCAATACATTGACTAAGTGCGATGATAACCATTTTCGGCTTAGGCTAAGTAGATACTTCAAGCTGATTGGTCGAGAATTTGGAGCTCGACAACTTTGATTATAATTGAGTGATAGTGTATAGTTTGATTACATCAATACTTTAACAAACTTCAATCCAGAGCACTTTCTGCTTAGGCAAAGCAGATACTTCAATCTGATTGACCGAGACTTTGGAACACAATCACTCTCCTTCTAATTGAGGTAGAATGTTCAAACTCGGTGTAGGTGTTTAATAGGTGAATGTCTTGACAGTGTTCGATCATGCGCATTTTCCACTAAGGCTAAGCAGAGATAACCAATTTGATAGATTGAGACTTTGGAACACGATAACTTTGGTTCTAATTGGGCGAGAGTGATGAAACAGAAGTATAAATTTATTATGTCAATACCTTGACTGATGATGGGAATTTTCTGCTTTAGCTAAGTAACGATAACAACTCTGCTTATAATGGAGGTAGAATGTTTAAACTTGGTGTAGTTGTTCATTTGGTTGAATGATTAACATTTTTTCGCTAAAGCTAAGTAGAGCTAAGCAATTTCATTGGTGAATACTTTGAGACACTATAACTTTGAGTCTAACAAATGGAGAGTGATTAAAACTTAGTGTAGAGTTTCACTACCAGGTACTTCAAAACCTTGACTGAGTTCGATCATGAACATTTTCTGCCAAGACTAAGAAAAGATAATCAGTTTGATTGATTGATACCATATTTTACAAACATTGTAATAAAATTGAATGTAAACTTAGTATTGTGTATTTATATGTTGATTTTATCTTTGTAGATATACCTTATCAGTTTGATTATCAAGTTGTCTATTCCATATGGGATGATGATCTAGTGAATAAATTTCAAGTTTTAGCAGAACAATATTCAACTTGCAACAATCAAGTTACACTCTCAGGCCTTTATAAACAATCAACTGGTATTTCTTATTTACAAAAGGTACATGGTTCTAAAGTAAAATGTTTATAATGAATATATTCAATTGACAGGCTCTTATACTTGGATGAGTACAATTAATTAGCTCTTTTTGGGAAATAACTATTTTTTTTATACGCACACATTAAAATGTGGTCGTATAATGTTGTTACCCCTGTCTGTCATCCACAAGCTCTAGAGGCTAAAGACAATATCCGATTGACTTTTAAATTTATACACATTGTTTAAGGTGATGATTTCTGATAATTGCTGCCCCTTTGAAAAATGTGGTGGATGATGAAGAGGCTCAAGTTATGATCCAATTGCCTCCTGTTCATCTTCAATGATTTCCGATAACTTGAACAGCTAAAGTTATCATATGAATACAATACTGGTATATGTTTTGTATAATAAAAAAAAGCCAATCAAATTTTAATTATTTCTGAAAACTTCTTTACGGGTTGTTAATCTTAATTAGATACTTTAGTGTCTTGAAAATTTTTCCATTACAAAGAAAAGAAAGGATATATGTGACAACTGTTATGGGCTGCTGTGGGCGTATGTATTTTGAAAAAAAACTTTTATGTATTTTGTTTTTTACTTCTAGATGTTAGAATCGATAAAACAGTATATCAGTGATGCAGAGAAGAAAGAAGAAATTCTAAATATGACATTCAATATATTTCATGAAAAAAACACAATGTAGTCCAGTTATCTAATACTGATGTATAAGTAATGATATTTATAAAGATTTCTGATAGTGATCATATATACTAAGCAGCAAAAGAAACGTCAGGTTGGTATGTTACTCTGAATAGACGTATTGCATAAAACTGGGCAAATGTTTTTATTGTATATTTGTGACCATATTTCCAACCTTACCTGAACAATAAGGGTCCTTCCCAAACACAGAATTGAACCCAGGAAATGTTCTCAAAAACGTAACCTGACTTCTGAGATGGTAATGTATTCTCCATGACTTTCATGTAACTCATGCTGCACGTGCTGTTCACCGGGACCAGCCCCATAAAATGCATCCCCCATGGGGCCCATACCTGGTTGAATCATTCACACTACGTCAGCAGCATGCCACAACTCACGACAGCTAAGGGGAACCAAGCGCTTGGAAGACTCGACGCTGGCCACAATGCCTAAGCCATTGTCAATCACTTCCAGGTCAATGTTCGGACCATCTACAGGCTTCAGAACACTTTCGGGCCACAAGCACCACGGATGATTGCCCCTGAATTGGTAGACCACACGGAAGACCCATCAGTACCGATACAGTGCGCCAACCCAGACAGAGAACATCCATTTCCATAGACCTTACCATGGACCGATCCTCACTCCTCGCCATCGATGTGAATGTCGACAGTTTGACCAACAACACCAGAACTGGCGACACAGGCAATGGAGAACTGTTCTTTTCACAGATGAGAGTCGGTATTGCGTATCAACTGCAGATGGCAGTACCAGAATATGGCGTTGGCATTGACATGGCCAGAGTTATTCTGTCATGGAACGAGACTCATGGGGAGGTCCAAGCATAATGGTTTGGGGTGGAATCGGCCTGAACCAGAGAGTGCGTCCTGTGGTGTTCCAAAATCTTGGTCCAGGGAGAGGAGGCGGCATCACAGCCGTGCGCTACATCGATCAAGCTCTCAGACCCCACATTTCACGCATCATCGAAACAACGTTTTCCAGCATGACAACGCCCGTGCCCACACTACCAGAGTTACTCGGGACTTTCTACAGCAGAACAGTGTCAACGATATGCACCGGCCAGCCATTAGTCCGGACTTAAACCCGATTGAACATCTTTGGGATGAAATTCAGAAAAGACTTAATAACGTCGTACCGAGACCAAACGCAGCCAGTGGATTGCGCCAGGCTTTTCTGAGAGCGTGGTTCCAGGTGCCCATGGCGTTCATCAATCGTCTGGTCCACTGCATGTACAGACGCTGCACTGGTGTTATTGACACTCGCGGTGGACACATCAGATATTGATGTATAGACTGTGTACGAACTCTAAACCTTCTCGTAATGTCTTGAAATTGTGATGAATTAATCACAAAGAAATGCTTTCATCCATTCAGTAAGTTGTTTTCTAGAATGATTTGATTAAAGTGCCTCTCTGATTTTGAAATCGTACTGACGTTTTTTTTTTGCTGTTTAGTATATTATTACCAGACATGTCGCTCTCTGTTCTCTGATTGACTATCTATATCATCATAATATATTTATTATATCACGTAATAGACACCTAATTTATCATTGTGTTACTGTTTAGTTTTTTCACTTCAGGAATCTGATTAAAGTGGCTCATTCTGTCTAAATTTTGCAGGTCTTTCTTCTGGTTTGTCTGCGATATCACCTCGGTGGAAGCGGACGTTAAATAAAACTAACTCACACACTTCTGGTTTAAAATTCAATACAAGCGCATAATCAACTCTCTAGACCATGGGATATGGATTAGACAATCCCAGCCCATGCATATCTGCCGTAAATGATAATATGGCCACTGCCCAAAACTGTTCAACTGTTTGTGTAAAATATTTACAAAAGTATTAAACAACAGACTACTATCCTGGTGTAATTTAAATAATATTATCCATGAGTATCAAGCTGGGTTCCGCCAAAAATACTCAACTGTCTATAATGTATTCTCCTTACAAGGTATTATAAGTAAATATCTATCGAGAAAAGGGGGGCAAATATATCTGCTATTTTTGGACTTCCACAAAGGGTTTGATTCCGTCCAGCATGACTTGTTCTGGGTCCGCATGATGGAAGCAGGTATCCATGGAAAATCCATCAATATCATCAGAAACATGTATTCTAACTGACTTCTTTGCATGTAATGCGGGTACCAGACAAGGCTGTATATTAAGCCCGTTATTATTTTCGCTCTTCATAAATCTATATGTCATTGAGTTTCAAAATAAGAAATGTAATGGTATCTTTGTATCCAATGTATTTCCCAATGTATTCTCTTTACTATTTGCCGATGACATCGGAAACATCGCCGATACTGTGTTTAATCTAAAACACCAAATTAACTGTCTAACATCATTTTGTGAGAAATATGGAATGTCCATCAACACCCAAAAAACCAAGATACTTGTATTTAGAAATGGTGGTCCACTGAGAGCATATGAAAAATGGAGTTACAATAATGTCCCAATAGATACCGTTTCTTTCTACAAATATCTAGGGGTTGTGTTCTCAACAAAACTTAAATGGTCGAAAACAAAAGAAGTTCAAATTCTACAATCCGAGAAAGTTATTAATATGATGAAATGTATAGACAAAAAGTGTCAAGGTATCAATCTTAGTTGTGCTGTACAAATATTTGATAAAATGATCCTTCCAATTTTATTGTAGGGCTCCGAGATATGGGGGCATTCTTTTTGTACAAAAATAGAAAATGTCCATTTAAAATTCTTCAAATATGTATTAAAACTGCCTCCTCATACTAGTAACTCTGCTGTTTTAGGTGAACTCGGGAGATCTACCTTTTAGATGTATCAGATATTGAGTTAAACTTTTATGCATGCCAGACCATCGACTTCCCAAACAAACGTATGTAATGCTACATAACTTGGATATGAATGGCAGGAAAACATGGGCAAGCGATGTTAAAAATCTACTATTTAGGTATGGCTTTGGTATAGTATGGATTTCCCAAACAATAGGAAATTGTGCTGAATTTATTTACCTATTCACGCAGAAAATCCGTGAATGTTGTACTCAAGAATGGCACTATTCCTTATATGAAAACTCAAGACTTGTTTATTATAGCCAATTAAAAGTATGCTTGGCCTAGAACCGTATTTGCTATCAACATATGACAAGAAATTTAAGCGTGCGCTTATTAAATTTCGTTGCGGATCGTACCTGTTTATGAACACGCTTTGTAAATGGCGTAAATTGCCAGAGGATTACACTATTATAACATTGTAAATATTAGTCATTTTCTATACTAAACTGTTCCTTTCTTTTTCTACTTTGTGCACCACTCTATTTATTGTATCTATATGTTTTCCATAAATCTATAAAGTATTATTTAATGGTTAAAATTGAAATAAGTGTACATAATTTTCACTTCCATATGCTAAATTTTTACTATGGCCGTAAGGCTTCAATACATGAATAAAGATTATTATTATTATGGTCAGCGCTCTTTTAGTTATCAAGCACCTGTTTTATGGAATAATCTACCATTAAGATGTTGTACATCTCTATATTCTTTTAAAAAAAACAACTTAAAACACATTTATTTAATCAGGCTTTTAACTGACTCTGTATACAATTGTTAACATGTCCATAATCTTGTTCTTTATTTATTATTGTCACTTTGTAAAGTGCCCCTGAACATGTTATATGAAAGGGCGCACTATAAATATGCTGTAATAATAATAATAATAATAACTAGACCTGCAAGCAGCACTGAACCGGCTTTCAGGAATCAGACAGGAAGTGTGTCATACAATAGCCCATTTATCGAGCTACCAAACGATACTTTAGATGTTTTGATCCGGTCACACCCGACCGTGAAATCCTGATTGTTCCAAGAGCACCGATATTTTTACTGTCTTTTTTTTTTTAAATATCGAATATTTTTTTGACTACTTCCTGTTTACAGATCATTATCGGGATAGATTTAACAAGTGGTAGGGAACTTAACTTCCTGTACCAGAAGTTTCAGAAAGATCCATTGGACAGTTTTACCTCCCTTATACCACTAGAAACAGATTTACAGATATAACGATTTTTCGACTTTTTTCAAAGATTGTGGCCCTTTTGGACCATTTATACTATATTGAGGCTTTTAAATTTGGATTCACAGCCCAGACCAGCGTTAGAACTCTAAGTAACAGAAGTTTAAGAAAGGAAATAAGAGTAATTTTCGAGATAAAAGCGTCTGAATAGGCTCCAAAAAGGAAAATACTAGACTTTCAGCATCTTATAATATATTACCTAACCAGCGATTTTTTACCATTGAGATGTCATAAGATTGTCCATTGTTCGGGCTATCCAATGACACTTTAGTTGTTTTGATTCGTTGAAATATGGCGTTGTAATCACTTTTTTCGCAAGATCACCATTTTTTACTTTTTAAGTTTGTTTTTTTCAAAATATCGGATATTTTTTTTGACTAGCTATTATAGTATAATTATACACGTGAAATAACAAGGGTCTGTAATTGCATCAAGTCTGTAGTCTCCAACACCCACAACCCCCTTATCTTCAACGTACAGGAGGGGTTTTAGACTGTTGTCAATATTTCACGAAAAGTTCCCTTGCCCATGCCTAACCGGGAGTTGTTTTGTTGTTTTTTAGATGGTTGTTTATCCAATATACAGTATGCAGTAGCCCCATTCCCTAAATTTTGTCGAGAACTTCCCTTTACAGCACAGCTAGTATGACATTATGGGACTAAATTATCGTTTGGTAGCTGATGTGGCTAGATGGATGTAGAACACTATTAATTTAGCATATTTCGGTAGTGCCGGTTATTTTTAGATATATTTTTCTCCCTCCTTTTATGGCATATTGTTTGCCTATCTGTATTGACATTTTCGTGTAGAATTGATGAAGAGGTATTGAATATCTATGTTCTGCCTGATTTGGTGTCGGTCTCGTTTCTTTTTTTGCCATTTTGATTGCCTATCTGTATTGACACTTGGGTGTAGAATTGATGAAGAGGTATTGAATTTCTACTTTCTGCCTGGTTTGAGACTTTTATGGCGTAAGAATACAACAAGTCAAGAAGCGTTGTTTTGTTTTTGCACTAACACGGTCATGATATTCTGTCCCCAGTCTGCTATGAATATCAGTGAATTCAAATTTTGGTGGTCAACCCTTATACAAATTCAGTGCTCTGATGATAGTTGCATCTATTTGTGGAGGGGCTGTACGGTTTGGAATTCTTTAAAATTTTCCATGTGATGCTGTAATTTATATTATCGTCTTTAAGTTTCCATATGTATTTACTCAATTTTGTGCTGTTTTTCAGCTTAGTGTTTCTAAAAGGATGAGTATGGTTATTAAATCTAGTTTTAAAAGGGCCTTCCGTGAGGCCTACATAGGTTTCTTCTGGTTTGTTGTTAGTAGAACCGAGCGGTCCGTGTCCTTTCCAACGGCATGGGTATTACCTGACAGAGCGCGGTTGAGTCCTGTCCAGGCAACGAGCATATCGGAATCACAACTAGCCTTCAATGTTTTTACATTGGCGTCTTCAAGTTGTTCACACCAAAAAATCTACGAAGTTCTGCTTATTGACAGAGTTTGATACCTTCCGTTTGTGCATGCTATAGCTGGGTGTGATACAACATCCAGATTGTTTAGAATTGGAAAAAAGTGTCCCTTTTAAAAAGGATCAAATGTATTTGTAAGGTGGGCGCAGGAGAAAGCGTAGGGAAAAGCAAGTAAAAAGCTTATCCGCTGTCCAGATTCAAAATTTACCGTCGACTCCAGATGTTGCAAAGTATCAATGGTTTCTGTGTGTACTCAAGTGCAGGATGGGGAGAGCGCCGTGAATTAAGCCCAGAAAAGAATTTAAAAAAGATAAATACTATTTGGGACATGTGATAGACTATCAAGACTTTAGAATAAATGGGACAATGCAGGACTGCGTTGTAATTTAATGCTCATGTGATAATTTACATTTAAATTTCTGTTAGTTAACGTCTTCCAAGGAGCTTAGTCATTTAAATGAGTTATGTCTCTATATTAAAGGAGTTATGAGACTCAAAAGGCCCTTTCCCTCTGGGTATGTTATAGAGGATGATCCCACGAACACAACGGTTCCAATAAACCTTCTGTTGCAATTTGTTCTAGGTCAACTCTTATACTATTCAAAAAAAGTAGGGGATATTTGATTTTTAAGTGTTATTAAAGTCACCTAATGAAACTGACGAAGAAACAAATGACAAAATGAAATGAAGTTCACATTCATCGATTTATTCCAAATGATCGTTAGACTAAGTAAGGCACAGACTGACCATTATAAGGGTAAAATGATACCCGGGGTCAAACAGCAAAGTTACCACAGCATCACAACCAAGTCAGTAACGGGTAAATCCTCCTCTGTTTGCCAAACAAGCATTGATCCGACGTGGCATACTCCTAATGGGACGTCTAAGGTCATTTTGGTCTAGATTGTCCCATTCCTGTTGCAACGCAGCAGCAAGTTCTTGGACATTGGCAGGACGTTGTTGACGTTGACGTAACCTCTGTCCAAGCATGTCCCAGACATGCTTGATGGGGGAGAGGTCGGGACTCAGTGCTGGCCAAGGTAATGTGGTGATGTTCTGTTGTTGGAGGTAACCTGTAACGATCCTGGCCCTGTGACATCTTGCGTTGTCATCCTGGAAGATGAAACGGCGGCCATGACGTCGTGCGAACGGCACAACATGGACTGCCAAGATGTTGTCCCGGTAGTACTGGCCTGTAACACGCCCTGCAACAACATGTAAAGCCGTTCTTCCAGCAACAGTGATGCCTCCCCACACCATAACAGAACCACCCCCAAATCGATCATGTCTGATGACGTTAAAGTCTTGGAAGCGCTCGTTTCGACGACGCCACACCCTCCTACGTCTGTCCAAAAAATCAACAGTGAACCTTGACTCATCTGAAAACATCACATTGCTCCAGCGTCGATTATCCCAGTGTTGACGATCCCTACACCAACGACGTCTTGCCTGAATGTGATGATCTCTCAAACAAGGGATCACGCGAGGACGTCGGGCGCGAAGGTGACCCCTATGCAGTCGATTCCGAATCGTCTGGCCACTCACTCTCACACCAGTGTCTGTTTGAAGACGAGCGCTGATCTGATTTGCTGTGATGACACGATTTCTCAAGGCCTGCTTATGACAGACTGACAAACATTCATCGTCCGCACCACAACCGCCTGTGTTGTGCCGATCTGTAGCATGCCAAGGGCACGTAACCTTTCATTTTGGGTAAGCCGACGCATATCAAAATTTGTTTTCTGGTCACTAAAACAATTAAACTGATGTTTCCACCCTGGAATTCAATGCCACAATGACTGTAACATTCAAAGTCAGAGTCGTGCAAATCTTGGGTTGGACCCCCATGATGATCCCAAGCATCACCTGCATTCCATGCGGTAGCTATTGGTGCGTTTGGGCGTCACATGTAACTGGAAATGTTTCTTCTGTTAGGTTCTATAGTGACTTTTTTCGTAGTCATTTGCATATTTTAGTATTATGCCCCCAAAATCAAATATCCCCTACTTTTTTTGAATAGTATACTTTGACCCATCTTCAACAGAAGGCTTGATCTTGCTTTAACTCCATACATCTTATCAAGCCCTTCATGTAACACCCTGCATATTTTCGGAGGCACTAAATTCGATTGCCTATTGACGCAGCTGGGGAGCCTAAAATGTCTACCTGTAATAATCGAGTTGCAAAGATCAAGGATTGTTCAATGTCAAGGTTTCCATGGAGGTCGCCATGTTTGATTTGAATTGCAAACCAGCCTAGCAACGTCTAGATGTTGAAAAACTCGCTGTCGTTGTTTCAGGAACATGACTTTGACTGGACTACTAGACTGACAGTGATCCTGTATATTTCTTTCCCCAGCATAACCCCAGTCTCGTGCTTTATCCTACACATAATAAATCAAAGATTTTTCTTTATAATCCAATAATAAGGTAAAGAAATAGTATTTTATTCAATCAAAAATAAACAATTTAAACTTTACATGCAACAGATTTTGAAGCAGGTAAGTATTACAGCTTTGAAATCAACTCCTAGAAAAGAAATAGACAGACTGAATAAAGGGAATAATTTACTTTACACTATTTTAAAACAATAAAACAAACAGGGAAAATAACAAACTTATTTTAATGAAAGCTACATATTTTGATTAAAATTATATGGTAAATTTTATAGATTTATTTGGAACTTCCTAATAGGTTAAACAAAAATTAGCAAAATATATTGAAAATTAGACATATCTCTTAGTCACGAAGTTGCATAAAATTCAGAGACATGTGGATATTCAATATTTCAGTATGTGACTTGAAGATATGATCAAATGAACTATTTAACACAGTACCATAGTGTATCAGTCTGCACACTTTGCACAAATTTCTAATCAGATAACAACATTAGCCACTAACTGTGCCACCCGACTTTTAAAAGTGATAAATTGCAATAACTTCAACAGTAATTATCAGTTTCTTCTTCCAAACCAGCGGTTGCCAGGTAAGATACGCCCACATTTTGCAAGAGATGGATAGAGAACAAGCTAAAAACAAAAGCGATTTTATGTACAATCAGGGGCGTATAAAAATAACTATCAGCTTCTTTGTCTCATGAAGATAAGCAATGTGTATAAATTTAAAGTCAATCAGATGATACCTTCAGCCCCTGGAGTGTCAACAGAAATGAAAACAATATACAACCCCATGTCAATGTTGGGGTGGGCGAAAAAAAAAGGTGTATACTATTGAAGACTTTTAGAGGTAATGTATGGTGGAAAAGGAGGCTACACTCAATTATAACAGTTTTATTTAACTATATAATATATAAATATTTAACTGTAAAACCAAATAGAATAGTCGTACTACACTAAATAGTGACATTGGAATTCAGACAAAACATCTACACAAAAACTAATATAACGAGGCACAGCGAGAAAAAGGGTCCAAACAACACAAATATATAATTTGGGACTAACATAATTATACCTTATATCATTTATTCAGGTCTCTTTGCAGAGAACTGTGAATGTCACTAAATTTTCACTCAGATAAATGTCAGAACTTTCATCTGCAGTACAATGGTATAATGTATATCACTAATATCAGTGTATGGTAGATAGATTCATTTGACACAAACATATACAACATAATAAATGATATATTCATTTATGGTACCAGATTTTTTTTTAAGAAGTAATTTGGGGGTCCCTTGGTTGGCTGCAGCTCAGCACCCCACCCTTTAAACCGGGCCTTCTACATTAGTCGACCCCTGTAATGAATTCGGGTAGTAACATTAAGAAAATATCCTTGTAAAAATTGCACAGCAGGGATGACACCCGGGGATTCAATGGGAAGATTTCCCCCAATAGACAAAGCCAAAAACTTTAGACTCTCCTGGCATAAAAACATTTCAGAGGTCAAATATTTCAGACTAACACAAAACAATATCATTGTATATATTTGATAAGTCTGTGAAATCTATAGTATGGAATGATGCAAAGAGAATAGAAATTTGGTGAAGATCTACTGTTGTGAAATGATTTGTTTTGAATCTCCTGTATTGTAATTTGTATCTATATTGAGAATAAAACCAATGAAAAAAAACCCCAATCTATTTTAATACCTGTGATAAAAGATAGGTTGCCACGCATCGAAACATACGCCTACAGCAGCTAAATCGTTCGAGCGGTCGACAGGGGTTGTTGAATATTTATTCTTTTGTAGGTAATTGGGGGGCATTTACAATACAATATCATAAAGATCAGATTATAACTTTTGTCGTTTGAGGGTTCACAATTTTCTACAAACTGAAACAAGGGCCTTAACTCTGGAAGTAATTTACAGGGCCATAAGACTAAACGTAATTAATGGAAATTGCTGAAATTCGATAGGTTTCTTCATAACTAATTTAAATAATGCATGTAAAGTTAATACAGATCACAAGGTTCTAAGAGGTGAAACAAGGACCAAAGCTCCAGAAGAAATTGACGAAAATTAAATAGGATTCTTCATCTCAATAATGTAATCATATATACATTTTAAAACAATCAGATGATAAATGTAGTCTGTAGAGTGTTCATAAGAAATTGTGAACGATGGATGGACAAGGGCGACGGCAATATACAACCACATTTCCATATGGGCGTATAAAAATAAAAACAGCCATTATAATACTAATACAAGCACGTATATAAAATAAACATAATTTGAGTAAATTAATTGTTGGTAATCAGATCTGATCAAATTCTCCCTTATCATTTTTCACTTCCTCCTTTTGTATTAGAAATGTATTAAATTGAGCAAATGCTGATTCAAGGCTTGATTTATCATTAACTGAACATCCATGGATTGTCCATTTTCTTTGTTTTTCTGTCTCTTTTTCCAACTCCAACAATTTGATTATCTAAAATAAAAATAGTTTAAATTGCTTACATATATAGAAATTATTAACCTTTTCCTGGTTGGTATTCTGACAAACTAAGTAGGGTTGAATGGTTGATATCACAGACATAATTCTCCCAAAAAAAGAGAAGAAAATTGACCTCAAAAGTGCAGTTAACATTCATTAATGCATTACTTATGCAAGCAGTAAAAGAGAAACAAGCAGAGAGAGAGAGAAATGGGGTTTAACGTCCACTCAACACAAACTAGCTCATTTCGGGACGAACATATGGTTTAATTTTATTTACATAATTCGCTTGCGCGTAGGGGTCTTTAGCAGTGGGAGGAAACCGAAGGCCCCGGAGAAAACCCACAAGGTTGGACAGGCGACCCTACTCCTTGCCACGTACACCCGGGGATTCGAAACCACGTCAGTCGACTCAATGACAGACTTTGATACAGCCCGCGCACGCTAACCATTCAGCCATCCACCCCCCCCTCACCCCCGAAACAAGCAGTCTTCCACACACTTCCTAAGGGACCCTCAGGGAAAGATCAAGATGCAGTCAGGACATAAATGGATACTGTGACTGTTCACATATTAAAGTTTTTGAACGTCCAATATCTGAATGGTACACATCTCTAGCATAAATGATAATTAAGAGTCATTCCATGTCATGCAGATGTTCGAAGGTGGGGGTCGGCCGTTTTAGTTCATATTCACAGGGTTTGGTCGACCCATCGAGCCTAATCCCCAGCCAAAATCGCCGACTTCAGAAATCAACCGTTTCCGAGATACAGACTGATTCCGTTTTTCGGTTGATTTTTGCCATATTGGGCCAAATTTTAGTTATTTTTGTCGGACTACTACAGGAGACTACACAAGATACGTGTCTGGAGATACCTAAAATGTACCCTATTTGCAGCTTGACCAGTTCTAACAACATAAGAAATAAAATCGTTGTCAGTCAGCTTGCAACAGTATGGAAATTTGTGTCGAAAGTTATTCAGCTACCCAATCGCCTATATTTTGTTATTCAAAGGGTCAATATATCAACTCCAGCTCCCTTCAACCCGCTTTGCCAAAATATTCAGTCTCGGTGTGGTTTGGTATCCAGTCTACAAATCCAAGATGGCGCCTCCCAGTGAATATGGATTTTCGCAAATTCTCAATCTATAATGTCGATCCTGATTATTTTAGTCCCCCGCCATTCGAAGAAAGCAGGGGGCTATTAAAATGGGTTCGTCCGCGTGTCTGTCTGTCCGTCACACTTTTTGGGACACAATAACTATCTGTCTAATTGAGCTAGAATGTTCAAACTTGGTGTAGGTGTTTATTAGGTCAATGCCTTCATGGGAGTCAATGAGCATTTTCTGCTTAGGGTAAGCAGAGATAAGCAATTTGAATGGTTAATGCTTTGGGACACGATAACTTTAGTTCTAATTAAGTGAAAGTGATGAAACTTGGTGTATAGCTTCATTACAACAATACCTTGACTGAGTCCGATAATGAGCATTTTCTGCTTAGGGTAAGCAGAGCGATAAGCAATTTTATTGGCCGAGACTTTGGAACACAATAACTCCCCTTCTAATTGAGGTAGAATGTTCAAACTTTGTGTAGGTGTTTATTAGGTCGATGTCTTGATGGAGTTCGAACATGAGCATTTTGTGCTTAGGTTAAGCAGAAATAAGCAATTTGATTGGTTGATGCTTTGGGACACGATAACTTTAGTTCTAATTAAGTGAGAGAGAGAGAGAAATAGGGTTTAACGTCCACTCGACACAAACTAGGTCATTTCGGGACAAACATATGGTTTTTTAATTTTATTTCAATAATTCGCTTGCGCGTAGGGGTCTTTAGCAGTCGGAGGAAACCGGAGGACCCGGAGAAAACCCACGAGGTTGGACAGGCAACCCTACTCCTTGTCACGTACAACCGGGGATTCGAAACCACGCCAGTTGACTCAATGACAGGCTTTATGATACAGCACGCACGTGCTAACCATTCGGCCATCCAACCCCCCAATTAAGTAAGAGTGAGGACACTTGGTGTATAGCTTTATTATATACTGAGGCCCATAGAAAACGTATCATTTAGTTTTTCGTATAACAATAATGATCCTGTAAACATTTCTTATTTATTTTGCTTCTTATTGTGAACAATATTCAAATGGGAACACATCAATAACAACACATTTGTACACTTATGGATGTTTAATCTGTAATCAACGGGGTCAAAACCAAAAGTACGACACAGATGTCAGTAGCGCGTGTGTCCTCCATGGGCTCTTACGCACGCTGTGCAGCGACGTCGCCTGGAATTTACCAATGTTTGAAAGAAGGCCTGGGGCAAATTGTTCCATTCTTGGACAAGAGCAGCTTCTAAAGCAGCAATGGTGTGCATCTGTGGTCACGATACAGACGGCGTCCAATCTCATCCCAGACATGTTCTATCGGTGCCATGTCCGGAGACATGGCTGGCCAGTCCAAGACATTGATGTTGTTAGCAGCCAGGTAGTTCATACTAAAACGGGCGGTATGCGAACGTGCATTATCATGTTGGAAGTGCTGAACATCGGAACAACAATTGGTTGCAAGACATCATCACGGTAGGCTACAGCATTAACGTGACCCCTGCAAATGTGTAGGGCGGTCCGGTGATGAAATGTGAAGCCTCCCCACACCATAACACTTCCCCCACCCCATCGATTCGTTTCAAAGACGCAGCAGTCTGCAAGACGTTCCCCAAGACGTCTCCACACACGTTGACGGCCATCAGCGTGATAAAGATGAAAGCGACTCTCATCACTGAAGAGCACACTTTGCCAGTCTACTCTTCACCATGTCTGGTGTCCTTGAGCCCATATCAAACGCCACTGACGGTGATGATCCCTGAGGATACCTCCAACATAAGGTAAGACGATGTCTTACGGTGTTGGCACTTACTGGTCCTTGTCTTCCGACGACTGCTGCACCTGTTCGAGTCGCTGGGCGGAATCTGTCATGTAGATGAGTGAGCCGGATGTAGCGGTCTTGAGCCTGGGTTGTAACGCGTTGTGGACCAGGACGTTGAGGGTCACGTGTTGATCCAGTAACTCGAACACGTTCCAACAACCTTACAATAGTGGACTGATGACAATTGAAGTATCTGGCAATAGCACGTGTAGACATGCCAGCCCTGGACATTCCCATGGCTTCATTCCGTTGATTTTCAGTAAGTCGCGGCATCTCTAGCTCGATTCCTTCACACGTCCAACAACAAATAACGACAGATTGACGTTTCACAGTTCATGTACTGCACATTAAGTTAAAATCATGTTTTTAAAGGGCTCACACACAATGCTGCACGTGAATATTGGGTTTTTCATGTGCATCTCGTGCAATTTTTTTGTGCACACAGGCCGATTTTTTTTTTTTTGCGTTTGAGAGCATTGTGGGAAACAATAGTTCATAGTATTGCATAATATTATACATACAAAACCACCTAGTAATAAAATATTTGGGAAAATAAGTGATGCGTTTTCCATGGCGCTCAGTATATCAATACCTTGACTTAGTTCGATAATGAATATTGTCTGATGTCATGTCATGGCTGATGTTCAATGATTTACATTGGTCGATGCTTTGGGACAAGATAACTTTGATTCTATCTGATAGAGAGTGCTGAAACTTAGTGTATAGTTTGATTGCTCGATACTTTTGAAAAAAAAATAAATGTGCGATTAATAAATATGAGTCATCTATTTATTTTGGGATTTCGGCGGGGGACATCAGCCTCACTGTTGGCTTGTTAACATTTTATTTCTATGGAAAATGAGAAAGTTCAATTCAAATGATGGACGTCGACAATTATGCAAAACAGGCCCAATTTCCATGAAAATCGCCTATTTGACATTGACCTTCAATCGCGGGGTCACCAGGGATACAATTTGAAGTTCACACGTTGCTCAATCGACAAACCATATCGCATTCGACAATATTGAAAAATAAATTGGGATTTCAAAAATTTTCTTGTCGGACATTTTACCGAAAATAAAGGGGCAAAATTCTTATCGTTATTTAAGCAGACATTTAAGCAGACGGATTCATACCACAATTAAAAATCACGTGTCAACAAAATATTCAAATCCCGTACGTAATACAAATTGGTGCACCTCGATATTTTTGATATATAATTCCCTCGTCTTCATTATCCCAGTCGGAGCAGAAAAGTAGGACGTTAAACCCCATTTCATTCTATGCATTCTATTTAATTCCCGTATGGTATTCAAATTTATGTTATAATATTCGTACAAAATTACGTATTTTCGTAATACATTGATTTAATGAAGCCTTGCCGATCCTGCTTCCGCTTCAAATTTACAACAGTAACATTCCTTCAAAATTCCGTGTCTTAGTTTATACGACAGCAAATGAATGCAGAACTTCCGGAATAAGAATAGTTTGTGATGTCAAAACATTGTTTTCTTCTTTATAAAATGTCAACAAAATATTAAAATCCGCACGTAATAAAAATAGGAACCTCTCGGGTGGAAGTATATTGTCGTCGCCCATGTTTGTCCATCCATCCGCATTTTCGTGTGGACGTATATTGTCGTCGCCCCTGTCAGTCCGCCCGTCCACAATTTGTTAATGGACACTGTACAGGTCACAATTTTTATCCACTTTCAACAAAACTTGAAATATAGGTTTATGTCCCTAAGATCTCGGTTCCTCTTGATAACTTCATGGACTATGGCCCCTGATTTTACGAGAAATCAAGTTTTAGCCTGTGGACACTGGAGGTCACAATTTTTATCTGATTTTCATGAAAATTAAAAGGTATGTTTATAACCCAAAGATCTCAATTTCTTTCGATATTCTGGCATATCGGATCTTATCTTCCTGGATTATGGTCCATGGTTGTACAAAAAGTCACGTTTTTAGCTTGTAGCTCCTCTAGAGGTCACTTATATACTTTTGTTTGATTTTTAAAAACGTTTTAATATATCACCCGTACACGCTAATGATGGCGGAGTTCGAATTTCGTGAAACTGCCGGACAAAATGGCCGCTCCTCGTACGCAAATACGAAAATTCGCATTTTTTGCTTGAAGATGTCACAATTTTTATCCGATTTTAAACCAGCGGCTGCCAGACAGGATACGCCCACATTTTCGAAAGTGATTTTTCCTACAATCAAGGGCCATAATTCAGGAAATTACAATTCGATATGCGCAAATATCGAGAGGATCCGAGATCTTTGGTTTATAAACTTACATTTCAAGTTTCAACAAAATCGGATAAAAATTGTGACCTCTATAGTGTCCACAACCTTGATATACAATATTTTTACGCTATTTACGCGTTCAACACGATAGACCACCGCATCCTTCTGCATCCTTCTGTAAACCTGATACATTCATATCTATCGGACCGAAGTCAAATAGTATGTGTACAAAACAGTAAATCTAAGCCAAGCCGTCTGCGATATGGTGTCCCCAGAGCTCGGTTCTTGGTCCGCTCTTGTTTTCGATCTACATTAGTCCACTAGGAGACATTATTAGGCAGTTTGACACCGATTTTCATTTATTTGCTGATGATACCCAATTGTATGTCGCAGGACCTCCATGTGTCATTCAGAATAAGCAACTCACCCTTGAAAAGTGTATATCAAAGATAAGTGAATGGATGTGTGAACAAATTTTAAAATCAAATACAGACAAAACTGAATATTTGACTCTTGGTTCAAAGAAAATGCTGTCATCACTACAAAACAACACTCTTATTGTTGGAAACGATATTATTACATCTTCAGAATCCGCTAGAAACCTTGGTGTTATTTTCAACAACACTATGGACATGAAACAACATATTTCGTCAATCTGCAAATCTTCCTTCTATCATCTCTACAGGATAAACAGAATTCGTAAATACCTAGATACAGATACAACTAAAACCATTGTAAATGCTCTGATCATACCTCGCCTGGACTACTGCAATTCGTTACTGTTTGGCATCCCTGCATCATCTTTACAATGTCTTCAAAAAATTCAAAATACTGCTGCCTGTATTATAACCAGAACTTACCATATGAGCACATCACACCAGCACTAAAAGATTTACACTGGCTTCCTGTCTATCAACGTATTAATTACAAAATACTATTAATAACTTACAAATGTTTACAGCCAAACACCACCTCTCCTACCTACCTCCAGGATCTACTTCACATTAAATCATCACAAAGGGAAACCCGTTCTTCAAACAAAATTCAATTAGAAATTCCGAGATCAAATTATGTGAAATGTGGAGGCAGAAGCTTTTCTGTTGCTGCTCCTAAACTGTGGAACAGGCTGCCATCACATATTAAGAAGGATGCGAAATCATTGTGTATATTCAAATCATTTCTAAAAACACAACTATTCAGTGCAGATGATGGGAAACTGTCGTAAATGTGACGGACTAACTCAGCGCCAGTGAGCAAACTTTTTGGATACGAGTCGCTATACAAATCCATTATTATTATTATTATTATTATTTGAGTACGAGGGGCGGCCATTTTGTCTGTCAGTTTTGGGCCGATTTTCACGAAATTCGAACTCAGTTGTCTTTAGGGTGTAACGGAGATATAATAATACGTTTTTTTTTAAATCGGATAAAAATTATGACCTCTATAGGGTCCACAAGCTAAAAACGAGATTTTTCGTACAATCAGGGGCCATAATTCAGGAAGTTACGTCCCGATATGCGCGATTATTGAAAGGAACCAAGATCTTTTGGTTATAAACTTACATTTCAAGTTTCATCAAAATAGGATTAAAATTGTGACCTCTATAGGGTCCACAACCTTGATATACCATATTTTTACGCTGTTTGAGAACGAAGGGCGGCCATTTTGTCTGTCAATTTTGGGCCGATTTTCACGAAATTCGAACTTAGCCGTCCTTAGGGTGTAACGGTGATATAATAATACGTTTTTTTTCTTAAATCGGATAAAAATTATGACCTCTATAGGGTCCACAAGCTAAAAAGGCGATTTTTCGTATAATCGGGGGCCATACTTCAGGAAGTTACTGTCCGATATGTGCGAATATCGAAAAGAACCAAGATCTTTGGGTTATAAACTTACATTTCAAGTTTCAACAAAATCGGATAAAAATTGTGACCTCTATAGGGTCCACAGCCTTGATATACCATATTTTTACGCTATTTGAGAACGAAGGGCGGCCATTTTGTCTGTCAGTTTTTGGCCGATTTTCACGAAATTTGAACTCAGGTGTCCTTAGGGTATAACGGTGATATAATAATACGATTTTTTAAATCGGATAAAAATTATGACCTCTATAGGGTCCACAAGCTAAAAACACGATTTTTCGTACAATCAGGGGCCATAATTCAGGAAGTTATGCGCGAATATCGAAAGGAACTGAGATCTTTGGGTTATAAACTTACCTTTCAAGTTTCAACAAAATCGGATTTTATGTATACTTTTATATACCAACGATCTTGGTTCCTTTTGGTATTGTCGCATGTCGGACTGTAACATACTGGATGATGGCCCCTGATTGTACGCGAAAAATTGCTTTTTATTTAGTTTGTTCTCTATGCATCTCTTGCAAAATGTAGTTTTATCTTGCATGACAACAGCTTATTCATATTTAATTCCCGTGTGGTATTCAAATTTATGTCAGTAATATTCCTAAAAAAATATGTGTTTTCGTAATACAATAGAATGAAATTTGCCGATCCGTGCCTGCTTCAATCAAATTCACGCCAGTAATATTCCTCCAAAATTACGAGTCTTCGTTTATACGGCAGCAAATGAAAGAAAGGCGTCAGAAATGAGAATTACTTGTGGTGATGTCAAATCATTTTCGTAAAATAATATATATAAAATTACATTGATAGTTAAATCACTTCTAAAATGCATACATAACTTCAGCGTATGGCGTACGTGACCGTTAACATATAACACATACAGTAGTTTCGAAGTAAGCAGCGATTTTCGTGCGATAATCGAGATTACGGGAAAATGCCATTGTAGATGGGAATTTATATAGGGCGTCTTAAAAGAAGTAGTTTCATTACGGAAAATAAGTTGAAGGTTTAATAGCTAACAATAGACATCCACTCATTCGGGGTGTTATATACTATTAGGATAATATGTGACACCAAGGACTAGTTTATACGTGCTGTCGGTTGATATCAATGAGACTAAATTGTCCGGCAATAGAAAAACCACCAAGGTAATCACGTAGATAAGGTTGATACTCACTATTATTGGATTGATAAATAGTCCGACAAAAGAGAAGCAATGACTTATGTTCAAGATTAGATTGATGAATTTCCCGACAAAGTAATAAGTCAGACACGCAAGGCAGATTAAGCAGGTAATCAAGGTAGGGGTATAGACGGTATAATACGATAAATACGCTGATCACTTAATTACCTATAACTTATCAACTATAATCGGGATGAGTGGTAGTTATACACTATTCATCATATCTTGATGTCCGATTTGGCATATTCCTGACCGGACATTTGGAAAATAGCGTAGGGCATGTCTGGAATGTACGGACGAAATCCCAACCCTTAAGAAACCGAAATTCGACGCGAAAAGTGATAAATTTCGTAAATTTCGACACCAATTTTCATACTGTTGAAGGTTAGTTGACAACGATTTTATTTTTTATGTTGTTAGAACAGGTCAAGCTGCAGATAAAACGATTTTCATTTTTGTCGCAAACCCTGCTCCAGTGGAGTTATGGCAATTTAAAGAAAGGGTATAATTCAGGTGCCTGCGGTCATGACACCTACGGAAATAGAGGTTGCACTGGGTGACCATTATAATATGGTAGGTGAGACCCGGACTATAATCACCAACCAAAACTTAGTTCGCCATTGGCCGCTAAACAGCTATAGCAATGCTACAAAAATGGTCGAAATTTGACCGGAAAATGAAAAAAATCAGCCGAAAAACGGAATCGGGCTGTATCTCAGAAACGGTTGATTTCTAAAATCGGCGATTTTGGATGGGGGGTAGGCTCGATGGGTCGACCAAACCCTGTAAATATCAACTCAATCGGCCGACCCCATCTTCGAACCTTCTGCATGGTTTTCTCGTGGAATGGTAAGTAACAAACCTCATCTGTACTACATGCTCCAGGTAAATCTTGGTAATTGACTAGAACTAACAATGGATGATAAGCCAATTGTGGATGATTTAATGCTTTAAGAAACTCTGTTTTAACTATTTCTAATTCTTCATCAGTACCAGTTCCATTTAAAACAAATACAACACCGTGAGTACCTTCATAGTATCTATCCCAATATAGACGAACATTTTCTCCACCTATAATATATTTAATATAATATATATATAAAACGGCAACGTGAAGTTGGCACGTTATTCGGGATTCGCCACTAAAAGAGAACGATCTATCTTGCATCCGACCATTTCCTAGTTGGGTGACCGATTAGCACGGACACGACTGTTTCTAAAGCGCGTAGGGTGCTGACTGATTTGTTAGAGTGCACGGGGCAGTCATCTCCAGCAATCACCTGTTTTATTGCCGAATCTTGAATAACGTGCTGGCTCGTTATTCGTGATTCGCCAATAACGAATAACGAGCCAGCACGTTATTCGGGATTCGCCACTAAAACAGACCGACCTACGTTGCATCCGACCATTTCCTCGCTACCCCCGACCGTAGGGGTAAGCGAACGTTAGGTGACCGACTAACAAGGAGACGACCATTTGTTGAGCGAACAAGGTGTTGACTGGTTTGTTGATGTGCACTGGGCAGTCCTCTCCTGCACTCACATGTTTTATTGTCGAATCCCGAATAACGAGCCAGCACCTTATTCAGGATTCGATAGTATAACAGACTGTCCTACCTACCACCCGACCATTTCCTTGCTACCTCCGACCGTAGGGATAAGTGAACGTTGCGCAGTCAACTAGCACGGAGACGACCGTTTGTTATGCGAGTAGGGTGCTAACTGGTTTGTTAGAGTGTACGGAGCAGTCCTCTCCAACAGTCATCTGTTTTACTGCTGAATCCCGAATAACGTGCTGGCTCCTTACTTGGGATTCGCCAATAACGAATAACGAGCCAGCACGTTATTCGGGATTCACCACTAAAACATAACGATCTATCTTGTATCCGACCATTTCCACGTTAGGTGACCGATTAGCACGGAGACGACCGTTTCTCAAGCGAGTAGTGTGCTGACTGGTTTGTTAGAGTGCAATATTCGAGATTCAGGATTCGGCAATAAAACAGGTGATTGCTCGAGGTGACTGCCCCGTGCACTCTAACAAACCAGTCGGCACCCTACGCACTTTAGAAACGATCGTCTCCGCGCTAATCAGCCACCCAACGAGGAAATAGTAGGATGCATGATAGATCGTTCTCTTATCGTGGCGAATCCCGGATCCCGAATAACGTGCTGGCTCGTTATTCCTTATTGGCGAATCCCGAATAACGAGCCAGCAAGTTATTTGGGATTCGGGATTCAGCAATAAAACAGATGACTGCTGGAGAGGACTACTCCCTACACTCTAACAAAACAGTTAGCACCCTACTCGCATAACAAACGGTCGTCTCCGTGATAGTTGGCCACGCAACGTTCACTTATCCCTACGCTCGGAGGTAGCGAGGAAATGGTCGGGTGGTAGGTAGGCCAGTCTGTTTTACTATCGAATCCCGAATAAGGTGCTGACTCGTTATTCGGGATTCGACAATAAAACAGGTGAGTGCAGGAGATGACTGCAAAGTGCACATCAACAAACCAGTCAACACCTTTTTCGCTCAACAAACGGTCGTCTCCTTGTTAGTCGGTCACCCAACGTTCACTTACCCCTACGGTCGGGGGTAGCGATGAAATGGTCGGATGCAACGTTTTAGTGGCACCGTATTCGGGATTCGATAGCAAAACAGACTGGCCTACCTATTACCCGACCATTTCCTCGCTACCTCCGAGCGTAGGGTTAAGTGAACGTTGCGCGGCCAACTAGCACGGAGACGACCGTTTGTTATGCGAGTATGTTGCTAACTGTTAGCACCGAGACGACCGTTTCTCAAGCGAGTAGGGTGCTGACTGGTTGGTTAGAGTGCACGGGGCAGTCATCTCCAGCAATCACCTGTTTTATTGAAGAATGCCAAATCCCGAATAAGGAGATGACCGTTTGTTGAGGGAATAAGGTGTTGACTGGTTTGTCGATGTGTACTGGGCAGTCCTCTCCTGCACTCACCTGTTTTATTGTCGAATCCCGAATAACGAGCCAACACGTTATTCGGGATTCGATAGTAAAACAGACTGGCCTACCTTCTACCCGACCATTTCCTCACTACCTCCGGCCGTAGGGATAAGTGAACGTTGCGCGGCCAACTAGCACGGAGACGACCGTTTGTTATGCAAGTAGGGTGCTAACTGGTTTGTTAGAGTGTACGGAGCAGTCCTCTCCAGCAATCATCTGTTTTATTGCTGAAGCCAGCACGTTATTTGGGATTCGGGATTCTTCAATAAAACAGGTGATTGCTGGAGATGACTGCCCCGTGCACTCTAACAAACCAGTCAGCACCCTACTCGCTTGAAAAACGGTCGTCTCCTTGTTAGTCGGTCACCCAACGTTCACTTACCCCTACGGTCGGGGGTAGCGAGGAAATGGTGGAATGCAACGTAGGTCGGCCTGTTTTAGTGGCGAATCCCGAATCCCGAATAACATGCTGGCTCGTTATTCGTTATTCGCGAATCACGAATAACGAGCCAGCACGTTATTCAGGATTCTTCAATAAAACAGGTGATTGTTGGAGATGACTGCCCCGTGCACTCTAACAAACCAGTCAGCACCCTACTCGCTTGAGAAACGGTCGTCTCCGTGCTAATCGGTCACCCAACGTGGAAATGGTCGGATACAAGATAGATCGTTATGTTTTAGTGGCGAATCCCGAATCCCGAATAACGTGCTGGTTCATTATTCCTTATTCGCGAATCACGAATAACGAGCCAGCACGCTATTCAGGATTCTTCAATAAAACAGGTGATTGCTGGAGATGACTGCCCCGTGCACTCTAACAAACCAGTCAGCACCTTACTCGCTTGAGAAACGGTCGTTTCCGTGCTAATCGGTCACCCAACGTGGAAATGGTCAGATACAAGATAGATCGTTATTTTTTAGCAGCGAATCCCGAATAATGTGCTGGCTCGTTATTCGCAAATCCCGAATAACGAGCCAGCACGTTATTCGGGATTCGGCAATAAAACAGGTGATTGCTTGAGATGACTGCCCTGTGCACTCTAACAAACCAGTCAGCACCCTACGCGCTGTAGAAACGGTTGTCTCCGTGCTAATCGGTCACCCAACGAGGAAAAGATCTGATGCAAGATAGATCGTTCTCTTTTAGTGGCGAATCCCGAATAACGTGCTGGCTCGTTATTCGTTATTGGCGAATCCCGAATAACGAGCCAGCACAGTATTCGGGATTCACGAATCCCGAATAACGTGCCAACTTCACGTTGCCATATAAAACTACATGTAGGATGTTGAGTACTTGGATTGTGATATTGATTATAATCTTACTCTTTAATGGTTAGAACTTCAATTATATGTTAATGAAGTAAGATTGAAATACATTATTGTGTTGAGGCACAGTCAGTCTACTGTTTAATTTACATGTTAATGTTCAAAAGGGGTGTATAAAATGAAGCCCAAAGATGACAACCAGAAACAAAGACCAATGCTTTTCATCCCTTCTTAGTCCTCATTAATGTACACAAATATGTAATTAGCAAAAAAATATAAAAAAAATAAATAAAGAGTTCTTCATTTTCAACATTTGCATACAGTATGTTAAAAGTCAAGACCAAATAATCATATTTTCAAGATGGCTGCCATTTTTGGCGGAAAAATGAGACGGTGTGAAAATTTTGATTAAGTAGTAGTGTTTGGTGTCAATATATTTGTTTTCGGAGTCATAGATTCCATTTCTGACATTTATAACCTTGTAAATTGATCACATGTTCACATACTTAGCATATTTCCAAGATGGCAGCAATTTTTGGCGGGAATTGGTGTCAATATATATGTTTACGGGGGCGCAGAATTCATTTCTGACATTTACAACTTTGTAAAATGATCACATGTTCACATATTTAGCTGATTGTCTTTGGTGTCAATATATATGTTTTCGGTGGCGCAGATTCGATTTCTGCGTAAAATGATCAATTCAGCATATTTTCAAGTCGGCAGAACGTTTTCTAAACGTATTATTATCATATATTTACTTTTCGTTGTTACTTACACGTTTCTGCGTCCAATTCTGCTACGTAGGCTATTAGCTTGTAGCACATTCCTGAAAGCCGGTACCGTGTCGGACCGATTTGGTACATTATCCAACGATGGAAATTACTGATCCGAGATGACCACTGAGCTGAAATCGATTTTCCTGGGAAAGAAAAGGCTACTCACTTGGTCTCCTGGCATGAAGAGAGCGGAACGGCAGCGTGGGGCCTGCGTCAGATTGACACGCGCCCATCATGCTCCTGCCACGACTACACCAAGCGCTTTCTACGCCCATTGCGCTCAAGATCTTAATACGCTAATGGCCAAGCTCTCGATACGCGCACCGTGTTCCCACCAGCAATCAGACTGGGATACGTTCTCAACACACTCCCGTGACGTGGCTACCAGGCATAAGACGCCTTTTCGCTGCGTCTATAGTGATTGCGCCATGCTTACTCCATCCTCATTCACTTTGAACGCAGAGAACAACCACGTCAAGCAATCAAGAACATTTCTTAGTTCCTTGATGTTTCCTCTTAGGAAGCTAGACTTCCCTATATATACAAAAAGTTCGTAATAGCGTAGCAAACATGTGGCTAGAAGCTTCGTTCCAGCCTGGCGGCAACGTGGTTGAAGGTGGTGGGGACGTGACTGTAAATGAAATACTTGCTAAGAAGCCCTCATGACATACGTAGATTATGTTATCAGGATGCTGTTGCGTTGGAAACATAAAGTATGCCACCACTTACACAACGACGTGGCCGGCGACTTTTACCAGTTCTTTCAATGTTGATGGCAGTGATGTCATAGATGACGGGTCACGTCGTCGTTTAATTGGTGATATATTTTGTTTGCAACAGCTTTCCTTTGGACAACTCCTTCCACACGCAGCTTTATGTCAGTTGATAATATAATCTATGCTACAAAGTTTTTTTTAAAGCAAGTGTTAGTATTTCATTTGCAGTCCTTGTTTTTATTTCTTTGTATATTGCTTTATGTTTAATATCATACATTTCTGTTCTACTTTTTAATTAATTTATTAATTACCTTTTCAAAAGTTGTAA